CATAGAAAAAATTTTAATAAGGAATTTAATGAGTTTTTCCCTGATTTCGGGAGTTAACCCCGTGCCAGGTATACTTTCGATCGGGCAGATGCTCAATCAGTATGACTTGTTCCAGCTCTTCGACCGTTGACTTCGTGGCATCAGAATCATCGGGGATTATGAAGGTTCGAGGTATCATGCAGTCATCATCCTCGATAATTTCCTGTTGTTCCGATCTGGTCAAAGCCGGCGACTGTGGTTGCTATTTCACCTTCTGCTTCTCCTTTGATTCTGGTCCCTTTGTTGATGTTAGAGTCGATACTGGTATCACCTCATCAATTACAAACATCTCTTTGGCTGATGGTTGTTCGTCGTACACTGTTTTGACCCCTTCCGGTGTTGGGAATTTCAAGACTTGATGAAGCGTTGAAGGTACCGCCCTCACATTATGGATCCACGGTCTCCCGAGCAGTGCGTTGTATCTTATATCACCTTTATTACATGGAACTTTATTTCCTGGATAGTTCCAGCCACATTCACTGGCAACATGATTCCCCTTTGGTGGTTTCACTTGCCATGTTGAAACCGTTGAGCACTCGAGCTGCAGGCACAATTTGATCCTGAAGGCCGAGCTTCTCCACGACCCTTGATCGAATAATATTTGCCTAGCTACCCGAAACAACCAACACACGTTTAACTTGAATTTTATTTATAAGGATAGATATTATCAGTGCGTCGTTGTGAGGCTGTTCGATCCCTTCTGCATCCTCATCGTTGAAAGATAGGGTATCTTCTGGTAAGTAGTCCCGGGTACGCTTCTCCCTTGTGATTGTGACTTTGGTGCGTTTAAATGTCGGACCCTGAGAGATATCGAACCCACCGACGATCATATGAATCACATGTTGCGGTTCCTCCTGTTTGCATCCATGTCTCTGAAGTGATTTTTTGCTCGGTCACTCAAGAACTCTCGAAGATGACCTTCGTTGAATAAATCCTTGATTGTCTGCAGTCTTCGATTTTGTGACCATGTGTTCCATGGTAATTGCACATTTTATTTGGACTCCTTTGAGCTGGATCACTCTACAGGGGTCTGGGCTACCTAGTATCCTTGATTCGTCCAATGGCTGACACAATACCTGAAGCATCGACACTGAAGTTGTATTCCGATAATCGTGGTGCTTCCTTAGGCTCGACATATTTATCGAAGCCACTCTTTCTCATGAGCCCTCGAGAATTTTGACCTCGATCATTCCTTCGAACGAGATTACGTCCCGGTCCGTTGTTTCTATGATCTGCGCTATAGGTTGGTACCGATCTCTGTTCGATCGGGGCTTTCTATTGATGTCTCTTTGAATCCTGCCTTCGGACCTATTTGGGTAAATGAAACCGGATGGGGCTCCCAACTGATCATCCTCGACTCTGATCTTTGATTGGTATCGATTATGCACATCGGCCCAGGTCACCGCTGGATATTCAATCAAATTTTGCTTTAGTTGACGTGATGTTACCGAACTTCGCTCGTTCAAACCCGGAGTAAAGGCTTGGACAACCCAATCATCGGTAACCGGGGGTAGGTCCATGCGCTCCATCTGAAATCGAGATACGAATTCCCTTAGCATTTCATTATCCTTTTGTCTCACTTTGAAGAGGTCCTACTTCCTAGTCCCGGCCTTTATTGCTCCGGCGTGTGCCTTTACGAATGAATCGGCAAGCATGGCGAAAGAATCGATGGAATTGGTGGCAAATTGTGGTACCATATTGATGTTCGGCTATAATTTCATATTTTAGTACATTATTTACCTTACATTTTAAGTGCTTTAATGCTAAACTATACTATATTTGTGCTTAATTGAGTTTATTTTATGTGTAGGTATATTGAAGACGAAATTGGGAGGAAAGTAGAAATTTTATGTATATTTTATGCCCTACAAGAATGGCTCATGATTATGTCCATGCAATTAGAGACAAAAGAAAACAAATAAAAATTAAAAGAAATCAAAAGAAGAAAAACAATTGAAAAAGGAACAAAGGAAAAGACAAAAGAAGAAAGAGAAGAAGTTTGCGAAAGATAGGCAGAAATCAAACTTCGGCAACAAAGCAAAGGCAGCAGGCGACGCGAAGGGTAAAGCTCGCGTCAGAGCTTGCGTCGCCAGGCCTAACGCGAGGTGGAGCGTGCGGTGAAGCTCGCAAGGCGAGGTCTATAGCGAGGTGTTCGCGTGGTTCGGATTTTTAAGGCATATTTTGTCTTTTATTTGGTTTTGAACTTGGTTATTTCGTCTAAATTTTTCCTTACACATATAAATAGTCATTAAATAGCATTTTTAGAGGAGGAGACCGAGATTAAACACAATTTTTACTGGGGATTCTACCTAAGGAGGCAAGAACGCACTAGGAGCAAGGCGGAGAATTCTTTTACGAATTTTTCACTTCCTTCTTCCTATTTCCATTATGTAGTATTGTAGTTATGCATACTATTATGAATAGCTAATTTGTTATCTAGGATTTTGATAAAACCTATTGGAGGATGATTTTCCTCTTACGTTAATATAGATTTGCCGTAGCTTTTCTTTATTTGTTCAACGACGTTTATATTGTGGTTGGTTGAAGAGCTATCAATCGACTGTGCCTATTTAGTGTGTATTACTCGGGAGAGAGGACATATTTAGGTAGTTGTTGAACAACATCACTCCTAACGTATATGAGGGATCTATACGAAGGGTTTAAAGGTGGGATTAGGGATAACGAAACCTTGGTGCGATCCGAATGAGTCGTACTTAATGCCAGCTAGCGTAATTCGGGAGAATATGTCTAGTAAATTGTGGTGGTTACTTGGGAGAGAATTACAAAACTCAGAGCGCTCATGATCGGTAGAATCCAACAAAATTAATTCAGGATAAGATAATATAACGGTAGATGAGAGTAGGGGTATCAACGGATACTGAAAAACGGACTAAACCGACCAAACTGTACCGAACCGAACTAATTTTTAAGTTTTTTTTAATGAAATTGTAGGTTTTTATATAAATCTATAATCGTACCGACAATTAGGGTAGGTTTTTTTTTATGAAAATAAACCGAAAAAATACCTACCGTATGGAATAAATTTATATGAAAAATATGTATTTATATATTAAGATTAAAAATAATAAAAACATTAAGTTTTTCCTTGAGCTCTTGAAATTATAAAATGGGACAAGGCAACAATTAATTAAACTCAAAATTCTAATTCTCAAACTTATTATACTACGCCTATTGAAATTAAATTATTTCCAGCATATTCACTAGCAAGACACAAGGTAATCTAGCAATTATGAGTAGCAAACTATAATATATTGAATATGTTTCCTTTCATACGATTTAAATTTATATTTATAAATATTTAATCTTCTATAGACTTTATTCTTGGGTCCGAGCTTGCTTAATATCTTTTCACCCGTGTGATTTATATTTTATTTGTCTTTGCTTAGTTTCTTTTACGCAACTATAGAATAGTTGATGGATTTATACGTTGGTCATCTTTCATGTTTTCTTAGTTAATTCATCACCCTTTAACTAGTAAAAATGTCTAGAGAATTTTGATAAGTCCTATAAAAGTAGGTATGTTATTGCATTATGCTCTTACTAGTGACTTTTAAATGACATTTAAAAAAATACCGAAAATTAACCGAACTGAAACAAACCAAATAACAACCAAACCAACTAGTAATATTAGTTCACTGAACGGGCTTACAAATAACTGGAAATTGCAATAAAACAGTAAAGGATAATTGAAAGATAACAGAGAGAGATGAGAGACAGAAATACACCATAGAAGAAGGAGATGAGAAGTACAGAGCTTTTCACATAATATTTGCCTAATCTTCCAAACCCAGACGATAACCCCTTTTATTCACTTAGTCACGTGCTTCCTTCACCTGGATCCCAGACAAATCTCTTGTTGGGCTTTCTAAATCTTGAACCTCTTCGTGGTTTAGCCCCCGGCCCAACAGCCTCTGTCCAAATATCTGGCCTATACACATTATTTGAGTTATCTTGGTTCACAACACGAACCGTACCGATATCGAAGAGAAACCAACATGATTGGTACTGTTTTTAAAAGTTAACTTTTGATTATACATAATAGAATAACCGAAAATTAATGTGATACAAATTTTATAAAATAACCGGCCGAACCGAACCATTGACACCCCTAGATGAGAGTTAACCGTAAAGAAGGGCGTCAAAGAAGTTGATGACGATTAGAGTACGCAAATACTTGGACGGCTGTAAATCGAATAATTTTATCAGAGGGAAACCGTTGTTTTATTTTGACTAGGACATTTTAACTTTTGTAACGTGCTTCTCACGTCTAATAACGAGATGATTTCAGAATTTTCACATTTCTATAAGTAGATGAATATATTTGGACTTAAAAATAATTACACTTTGTGATCCTTTAATTATTCAAAATGCCACGTATTTTCGATTAGTTGAAAATATTGGATCTTATTCATACTGTACCACTCCAACTAGCTACATCATCAGAGAATGAAAAAATGAGCTGTTAGAATACTAACTTTAACTAACCACTCCTATTCATTTTGTTAGGCACGCAAAAACTTGGACGGCTGTAAATGGAATAAATTTATCAGAGGGAAATGGTTGTTTTATTTTGACCAGGACATCTTAATTTTCGTAACGTGCTCCTCACGTCTAATAACAAAGATATTTTTAGAATTTTCACATTTTTACAATTAGATGAATATATTTTGACTTAAAAATAATTAAACTTTGTGATCCTTTAATTATTCTAAATGCCATTTATTTTCGATTCGTTGAACATTTAGATCTTAAATCAAACAAAATTAAATGGAAAATGTGTGCTTTGTTACATTATTACGTGAAATATATTATAATTAGATTTTAAATTGTAATTTTCTCAGATATGAAGTACACTAAAAAATTTGAGATGTAACTATTATATTATTGTAAGCTAGGGATACTAGTATTTACAGCACCTTTTTTCCTAATGCAATTATACCTCCAAGAAAATGGAACTGCTATTCATTTTGTGCCAGCTACAACCACAATACTCCAACTAAGCTATATAATCAGAGAATTAAAATTAATGCCACAGTATGAATATTACTTTACTAGACATTTAAAAATGTTATTAATTCCACCTCTTTGTACTTCCAACTCAATATTTTATACTTCTGAGCCCCAAAGATGTGACCATGATCACGAAAATTTGATGAAGTAGCAACACTCTCTCTACTTGATTTTTAGGTGTTACCAACCATACGGAAATAGCAATCTGTAAGAAGATTAAGGATTGAAATGTTAGTTCCACCATTGCAATAACTAGCAGCAGGAGAAATATTTCAAATATGTGATAATACAATAACTACATCAAGAGAAATAAACACAATATTACACCTTCATTAAAAGGTACGTGATCCAGTGGTAGTGCTAGTTTCAAAGTATATGTAGTTACATGTTCGAACAAGGTTAATTTAAAGGTGTTAGTTCCCAAAAAAAATACAAAGGTAGAGACAAAGTGCTACAATAATACTCTACAGTTCAAATTAGGGATCCAGGTGGACTCGAACCACCGACCTCTCGAATGCAATGGCATCGAGCGCTCAACCAAAAAACGAGCTCTTAGATCCATCCACAACACCAATTTATGACGTTACAATTAAATTATATTAAATATATTATTTTTATAATTATAAGATGAATAGGAGAGCACTTTACCCTGATTTAGTGGTGAGAAATAGGAAGAGTGTTTTATCACTAATCTGTTGGAGGTGAGAATTAGAAGAAATGCATTAACATAACGACTCATTTTAGGACCATCCAATGACCCATGGTTTTTCCACGAAGCTAATCTTATTTAGTACACCCCAACAATGACAGGGTGCACAGTGAATCAAATTAATAATATAATCTAAAACATCCTCGAGTTTAATAATTTGTTAAAAAGATGAACATGAACAGCCAAGACTAGCACAAAACCCAACCATAATCCGTCAAGAAATATTGCAACACTGTATCCTGCATGCAAGTTCCCTTATACTAATAAATTCAAAACCAATCTGAAACCAAATTATCAAGGGAAATTAACGGTCTCTCCAAACTGTATCTCTGTACTACAAAGACAACCTTCTGACTGAACACTGTCGAACCAGCAGATTCGCAACAGCAGACTGCCTGTGTAAAAACTGTTAATTGTCCACATTCTTACAAACATGAGAAAAGGTCCAGTTTGCAGGCAGACAATTTAATTATTCATGCCCTGCAAGGAGAGAAACAATTTAATTATGCTCACAAATATCAAAAACCAGAATAAATTAAAATAAGTTATAAGAAAACCTATAATTAATAATGAGACCCAACAGGACAACGATATTTCATAAATGTGCAAGAGCACTGGGTGTCTGAATAAATTCTACCACATAATAAAAGTGCAGAAAATTATACTGTCTTGGCAGATGAAACCTAATGAATTACCTCAGAATGCCAGAAAGCACAAGCACAACACAGTTCGAGACTATATCAGTTGCTTGCTACAAGGTTTTCCTGAGAAAACACTTCCAAAAAGAAATATCATACCATACCAACTCTTCAAACAAGCTAGATTAACTTTTCCATTCAGAAAATAGTAAAGGCACAGAAAATACGCTTCTTTAAATTCTTTGGGATATACAGACATGATATCTTCCGTCGACACTTCATCTTGGATGAACCTGCTTGCAAAACAAATTGGTGTTGATACTTTTGCTGATTACACAAAAGCACAGCTCGGAAACATAATGAAAACCACAGATCCAAACCAGCAACAGCAACAAGCTCTAACATCTTCCGTCAACACTACATCTTGGATGAAATGGCTTGTAAAACCAACCAATGTCGAGACTTGCTGATCACGCAAAAGCAAAGCTTCAAACCATAATGAAAACCATAGATTCAAACCAGCAACAGCAACACGCTTAGAGTCTCACAAATTCCTCACCAAAGTGAGGTATCCCGGAGAAAATTACCTCGTGCGGAAAGCGCAACACAAGCTATCAACTTTAGCACCAGTCAGCACAAATGCGCCTCCAGCTTATTGGAGGGAAAAGCCACCCATCATCATATGATACGGGTCAAATCTAACCGGAATACACAATTGTTTTTAAGGACAAAGTTCCAAACCTGCCTACACAAGGTACCCCTCCCAAAAACTACAACAGGGGTACCATAACAAAAAACTTCCAATGGAATGAAACTATTACATCATAGATCAGGAGAACACAGCTAAGCTCCGACTAGACTCTTGCCAAAGAAGGCATGACTACTTAAAAACAATAACTCAATACTATTATTTACTAAGTAAACAAAGAGTATATATAAAAGTAGAATCCCGAATTAAGTTGAATATGCAGAATTAATGAATATGGAAATTTCAAGTTTCACGAGCTTTTGTAATGGCAACACCATGATTTTCCGCAACATTTCGTAAGAACCCAGCTTGTTCAATTTCGCTATATTATCCACCATATAGTTAAATAAACCAATTACTACAACAATATCACCACAGATTATAGTCTGTTGAATATCTGGGGAAACTTTAGGCTTAAACAATGAGATCGAACCTTATTAGAGAATAATATACAGTTTAGATGCAACTTTGCAATACCAATTCTAATTTTATGCTCCATGACCAATCGCAACTAAGAAGGTTCCATTTTAAGAGTTTATTAGAACATAAGCTTACCATAACCAATAAAGGTGTAATTACCATTTTCATGGAACATCATGCATTAGGGGTCCTATTTAGGAGCATAAATTTTATTAAACCACTTCATGGGAATATTATGAGGTGCTCTGGAAAAAAATGGCAAGTTCACAAGCCAATTAACCACGGCCAAAATATGTTCTAAAGTAACTTCCATAGAGAGGTGCAAGTGCTTAACATAAAAGTCCAACCTGTGAGCATTTCAGCTTTTTTAAATATTTCCAGAATTGCTATCTGGAAGTTCTTATATGAGTATTGGTGTACGCGTTATAATTAAGGCAATTAATTTAGAATTGATAAATGTTACTATGAAAAATATGAAAGTTAACTTACTTCGAGAATTGATATTGTACCTCTAGTGTCGTGCTGCAGTAGAAACGTTGCTTGTGTCCATCGTCGTGGTGAGCAAATCAACATGAGTTACTTGTCCTTGAACAGGCCTCGCCTCAAAATACACAACAGTAATCACAAGGCCTTTTCAACGACAAGTAACCACTGACGACGCAAAGTTGTTGAACGCAGGAGCAAGGAAAGAACAGGAAAAAAATAAAAAAAAGGACACACACGCGAAGAGAGGAGAGCCGGGGGTTTTGCCCCGTGCCGTCTCCTCTCCAACACCCAAAATAAATACTTTTATTAGGTACTTTTGACCTGCCAGGTGAGCGCACCCAACATGGCAAAGGCCTGGTAACATGAACAATAAATACCTCACTTTTTCCTCTCATATTTCACACAAAGTCTCTCAATCTTTCATCCTCTCGTACATATGCATGCATAAAATGAAAAACTAATGCACATGAGCCATTCAAATAATTATAGACATCAAATTAAACTATTATAACCTTAGATACACCATCAGGCTAGCTGATTTCAATCCCCGATCGATGATCACCGGTCCAAACCAATTGACTCAAGATGACGGCAGCACCGATTCAGTAGTCCTTGCATCTCTATTCAGATCTGTAACATGTAAAAGGATTAGCTTGATTTCAACAAACATAACTTGCTTGACACATCTTCTCCAAATAAACAAAGCTCAAATAAGCATATTTAGCTCACCGGTAAAGCTCTAGTGAACAACGGTTGAAGCCTCGGTAAAATAACACCTCGGTTGCTCAAACTACTGATCCAACCTCAACAAATCTCTGAAGACCAAACAGATCTGATGCTCAGCTCCATCGAACCATTGCGAAAAGGATCAGATCTACAAGCTCCTCGTCAACCAAAGGCCACAGTAGACGGACATCGAACAGTTACACCGCTCGGTTGGTCAATGGCCGAGCTGTTATAGAAACACAGCAAAACCATATTCAAAAGGTAGATCGAAAACCGATCTACACAGATCTGAACATGAAATTTAAAGAAGATAAACTACGAAGACGAGATCTGGAGAAACAGATATTGCGAATAGAAGGAAAGGTATGCATGAATGATGGAGGATGTCGTTATTTATTGAGAATTTAGAAGGATCCAACGGCTCAGATTAATTTAGGATAAGAGGTTGACGACGAATAGGGTACGCAAATACTTGGACGGCTGTAAATGGAATAAGTGTATTAGAGGGAAAAGGTTGTTTTATGTTTGACTAGGACATCTTAACTTTTGTAACGTGAATTTCACGTCTAATAACAAGATTATTTCAGAATTTTCACATTTTTATAATTAGATGAATATATTTCGACTTAAAAATAGTTACACCTTGTGTTATTCTAAATGCCATGTATTTTCGTTGAACATATTAGATCTTAAATCAAATAAACTTAAATGGAAAATGTGAACTTTGTTCCATTTATACATGAAATATATTATAAGTAGATTTTAATATTATATTTTTCTCAAAAATGAAGTACAATACAAATTTTGAGATTAACTATTTATTGTAAGCTATGAAATAATATTACAACACCTTTATGCTATTATTATACTTTTAAGTAAGATAGAATGGCCTAGTAGACTCCTATACTTGTTCAGGTTTGTCATCTCGGTCCTTATATACTGTGGAGTTTCATCCAAACACTTCTAGTTTATCAAAACCTACTTCATAAACCCTTCTGACCGTTGACCGAGCTTAGTTGGCATTTGTTTTGATGAGTCAGATCATTGCGTGATTACACGCTCTAAAAAGCGCGTGCGTCAATTATTTTGATTAAAGAAATTTTTTGAAAAATCACAAGAAAAAGAAACAATAAAAATAAATGAAAAAAGATTGAAAAAAATCGTAAAGACCCCTGCTTTCCGTCATGACCCCTTCCCGTCATAACCCCTTCCAACACCCATGTTCCCCTCTTCCTATCTTCTTCTTCCCCGTTCCTTTCCGCCCAACACTTTTTTCTACCTCCCCTTTATTAGGCTTTGATATTAAACAAAATTACCAACATAAAAGTGTTTTATTAATTTCACTTTGAATCCCCTGTTGAGGCTCTTCACTATGGAATCTGTATTATCTTTATTTGAGATATGTTTTCTGCCTAAAAATATGATTTCAGATCTGTTTAGAGGGAGCTTTTGAGAAAATAGGACAGAGGAATAGATTATGAAATTAAAAAAAAAACGGAAGGAAGGAGTTTCATGGTGGCTGGAGAAATTTTCGGCCATGGCAGTGGAGAACAGTAAGAAAAAAGTGATGGTGGGGAAGTAAAGAAAAATAAATAAAAAGTCAAAAGAGAAAAATAGTAAGTCAAAGTTATTTTAGATTTTTTGTCTAAATAAAAAATGATCTGGCATATTTTTATCTGATGTGAATTCTGACATAGCGCGACTGAGAGACACGCGGCGTCAGAAGGATTTGAGACACTCGTTTTTATCAGGTAGAAGTGTTTAGATTAAACTCTATCAAGTATAGGGACCGGGATGACAAACCAGTATAAGTACAAGTGTCTAATAGGCTATTCTGCCTTTTAAGTAAATGGAACTCTTATTCATTTTGTAGGTATAACCACAATACTCCAACGCTTACATCATCCCAGAATTAAAAAGTGAGCTGTTAGAATACTAGCTCAGAAAGCAATACCTAATAGTAACAACTCAATCGAGAAATAAGAAGATCAAAATTAGTGCCACAGTATGAAGATTACATTATTAGACATAAAAATTGTACTTCCAACTGAATATTTTATACTTTTGAGCCTCAAAGATGTTCCTGTGATCAAGAAAATTTGATGGAAGTAGCAACCCGCCCTTTAGGGGTGTTATCACCCATACGGAAATAGCAACCTGCAGGAAGATTTAAGCATTGAAATGTTAGTACCATTACTGCAATTACCAGCTGCAGGAGAATATATTTCAAATATGTGATAATACATTAACCACATCAAGAGAAATAAACACAACACCACACTTCCAATAAAAGGTACATCTTCCAATGGTCGTACTAGTTTCAAAGTATCTATAGTTACATGGTCGTACGAGCAATTTAACAGTGTTAGTTACCAAAAAAAAAAAATCAAAGTCCTGCAGTCTACAGTTCACATTAGGGATCCAGGTGGATTCGAACCACCGACCTCTCGAATGCAATGGCATCGAGCGCTCAACCACAAACCGAGCTCTTAGATCCATCCAAAACAGTAATTCGTGACATTAGAATTAAATTATACGGGACAAGAAGTTTAAGAGAAGAGAAAAAACCTTTTTGTGTGGGTATAAATACTCATATAAAGATAAAAAAAAATTCCATGAGAGAAGCATTCCACAGAAAATAAGTTCATATACATTGCAACATAGGGAGTATTAAATATGAAAAGTTGCTTTTTTAAATAAGATGAATAGAAGAATCCTTTACCTTGTTATAGTGGTAAAAAATAGGAACAGTGTTTATCACTAATCTGTCGGAGACGAGAATTAGAAGCAATGCATTAACATCAACATAGCCACTAATGTTAGGATCATCCAATGATCCATGGTAATTCCAGGAAGCTACTCTAATTTAGTAGCTAACAATGACTGGTTGCACAATGAAATAATAATAATAATAATAATAAAATCTAAAACATTCTCAAGTTTAATAACTTTTTAAAAAGATGAACATGTACTGCCAAGACTACCACAACACCCAAACCATACTCGGTCAAGAAACATTGCAACAATGTATCCTGCATGCAAGTTCTCTTCTACTAATAAATACAAAGCCCATCTGAAACCAAATTATCAAATTATCAAGTGGAATTGACGGTGTCTCCAACAGTATCTCTATACTAAAGAGAGAATCTTCTAACTAGACACTGTCGAACCGGCAGATTCGCAACAGCACACTGCCAGTGTAAAAACTGCAACTGTCTTTAACATCCTTACAAACATGAGAAACGCTCCAGTTTGGAGGCAGGCAATTATCCATGCCCTGCAAGGAGAGAAAATTTAAATATGCTCACAGATATCAAAAACATACAGCTAAAATTAAAATAAATTTTACAAAAAAAAAAACGTATAGCTAATAATGAGATTCTACAGGACAACGATATTTTGTAAATGTGCAAGAGCACTGGGTGTGAGAAAATTCTACCACATAATAAAAGTGCAGAAAATTATACAGTCTTTAGATGAAAACAAAATGAATTACCTCAGAACGCCAGAAAGCACAAGAAGAACACAGTTCGAGACTACATATCAGTTGCTTGCTACAACGTTTTCCTGAGAAAATACTTCCAAAGAGAAATAGCAGATCAACTCTACAAACGAGCTAGCTTCACTTTTCCAATTAGAAATTATTGAAGGCACAGAAAATACGCTTTCTTTAAATTCCTTTGGATATACAGACTGACATCTTCTGTCAGACACTTCATGTTTGATGAACCTGCTTGCAAAACCAACAGGTGTTGATACTTTTGCTGATTACACAAAAGCACGGCTTCAAAATACAATGATAACCACAGATCAAAACCAGCAACAGCAACAAGCTCTGACATCTTCAGTCAACACTTCATCTTGGATGAAGGCTTGTAAAACCAAGCGATGTTAACTTGCTGATCACGCAGACCACAGCTTCAAAACATAATGAAAACCATAGATTCAGACCAGCAACCGCAACAAGCTTAGAGTCTCACAAATTCCTCACCAAAGTGACATCGCGGAGAAATTACCTCATGCAGGAAGCACCACAAACACAAGCTAACAAATCTTCAACAGCAGCAGCAGCTCCATTTGTTGATGGACAAGAGTAAACAAAGCTTCACATTAACTAGAAGCGGCGTATACGTCGAGCGCAGCACCAAAAATTTCAACTTCAGCCAGCACCAATGCGCCTCCAGCTTATTGGAAGGCACAGCCACCCATCATCATTTGATATGCATCAACTCTAACGGTTTACACTGAATTATTTTTAAGGTCAAAGTTCCAAACCTGGCTACACAAGGTCCCCCTCCAAAAAAACTACAACAGGGGTACCATAACAAAGAACTTCCATTGGAATGAAACTATTACATCATCGACAAGGAGAACACAGCTAAGCTCCGACTAGACTCTTACCAAAGAAAGAGTAACTCATGAACACTAAATAACAAAGTATTATTGACCAAGTAATCAAAGAATAGGTATGTGTAAAAGAACTCCCGTATTTAAGTTGAATATGACAAGAAATAAGTNGTTATTGCTTCAGATGTTGTGATCATAGGCATTATCTCAGTTTGCCACGAGGATGCCTCTGTATTATGTGATCCTGGTTCCTACTTTTTCATATGTGTCATCATATTTTGCTTATTATTTGGATACGCCCCGCGAGTCTCTTGTTTCATCTGTTCGTGTATCTACTCCGGTGGGCAATGCTATTGTTGTGGATCGCATATATCGGTCATGTGTGGTGACTATTGGGGGTTTGGAGACCCGAGGGGATCTTTTGTTGCTTAGTATGGTTGATTTTGATGTGATATTGGATATGGATTGGTTGTCTTCGTGTCACGCTATTCTGTACTGTCACGCTAAGACAGTGATGTTGGCTATGCCGGGGTACCACGTATTGAGTGGCGAGGTTTGATGGATTATGTTCCCAATAGAGTGATTTTATTTTTGAAGGCCCACCGGATGGTTAGGAAGGGTTGCGATATGCATCAACTCTAACGGTTTACACTGAATTATTTTTAAGGTCAAAGTTCCAAACCTGGCTACACAAGGTACCCCCCTCCAAAAAAACTACAACAGGGGTACCATAACAAAGAACTTCCATTGGAATGAAACTATTACATCATCGACAAGGAGAACACAGCTAAGCTCCGACTAGACTCTTACCAAAGAAAGAGTAACTCATGAACACTAAATAACAAAGTATTATTGACCAAGTAATCAAAGAATAGGTATGTGTAAAAGAATCCCGATTTAAGTTGAATATGCAGAAATAATGAAAACGGAAAATTCACGTTTCGCGAGATTTTGTGATGCCAATACAATGGTTTTCCGCAACATTTCATAAGATGACAGCTTGTTAAATTTCGCTGTTTTATCCAGCATATGGATAAATAAAATTCCAATATCACTACTGATTAGTCTCTTTAATATCTGGGGAAAATTTAAGATTAAACAATGAGATCGAACCTAAATAGAGAACAATACACAGTTCAGATACAACTATGCAATACCAATTCTAATTTTATGCTCCGTGCCCAATCACAACTATTAGATGGTCCCATTTTCAGTTTTTATTAAATAAAACATAAGCTTACCATAACCAATAAAGGTGTAATCTCCATTTTTATGTGACATCATGCATTAAGGTGTTATTTAGGAGCGTAAAATTTTTTAAACCACTTACTGGGAACACTATGAGGTGCTCTGGATAAAAATTTGGCGACTTCGCAAGCCACTTAACAGCGGCCAAAATATATTCTAAAGTTACTTCCATAGAGGTGCAGGTGTGCTTAACATAAAATTCCAACCTGTGACCATTTCAGCCTCTGTAAAAATTTTCCAGAATTGCTGTTTAGAAGCTTTTATATGACTATAAGTTGGTGAAGGTGATAATTAAGGCAATCAGTTTAGAATTGATAAATTTTATAGAAAATGTGAAAGTTTAACTTCAACTAAGAGAATTGATATTGTACCTCTAGTGGAGTGCTGAAGTAGAAACGTTGCTTGTATCCATCGCCGTGGAGCATATAGCAAATCAACATGAGTTACTTGTCTTTGAATAGGCCTGACTACAAAATACACAACAGTAATCCCAAGGCCTATTCAACGACAAGTAACCACTGATCGACGCAAAGCTGTTGGACGCAGGAAAAAAGAAAGAGCAGAGCCAAAAAGGACACGAGACACACAAAGAGAGGAGAGCCGGGCAAAACCCCGTGCCTTCTCCTCTCCAACACACAAAATAAATACTTTTATTATGTACTTTTGACCTGCCATGCGAGCGCACCCAACATGGCAAAGGCCTGGTAACATGACAATAAATACCTCACTTTTTCCTCTCATAACTCACAACGTCGCTCAATCTTTCATCCTCTCGTACATATGCGTGCATAAATAAATAAAAACTAATGCGTATGAGCCATTTAAATAATTGTAGACAATAAATTAAACTATTATAACCTTAAATACACCATCACGCTAGCTGATTCAACCCTCGATCGAAGATTACCAGTCTAAACCGTTTGATGCAAAACAACGGCAGCACCGATTCAATAGTCCTTGCATCTCTATTCAGATCTGCAATATGTAAAAGGATTAGCTTGTTTTCAACAAACATACATTGCTTAACACATCTTCTCCAAATAAACAAACCCAACAAGCATATTTAGCTCACCGATAAAGCTCTAGCAAACAACGGTTGAAGCCTCGGTAAAATAACACCTCGGTTGCTCAAATTACTGCTCCAACCTCAACAAATCTCTGAAGACCAAAGAGATCTGATGCTCAGCTCCATCGAACCATTGCGAAAAGCATCAGATCTACAGCTCCTCGTCAACCGGCGGAAACACGTTGACGGAAATCGAACGATTCCAGCGCTCCATTGGTCAATCGCCAAGCTTTTAGGGAAATAAAGCAAAACCATATTCAAAAGGTAGATCGAAGAACGATCTACACAGATCTGAATATGAAATTTGAGGAAGCTAAGCTACGCAGAAGAGATCTCGAGAACACAGAGATTGGGCATAGAAGGAAAAGGTAGGTATGAATGACAGGAGGAGGTCGTAATTTATTGAGAATACAGAAGGATCGGACGGCTAAGATTAATTTACCTTAAGATATTTAACGGTAGATGAGTTATAACCATAAGAGGCGGCAAAGAGGTTGAGGAGGAATTAGGTACGCAAATACATGGACAGCTATTATTGGAATTATTTTATTATTATTAGGGGGAAGGTTCTGGATGTAGTGTTTGACTAGGACATCTTTAACTTTTGTAACGTGTTACAACATGCTTCTCACGTCTAACAGATATTATCATAATTTTCGCATTTTCAAAAATTTACTCCCTACGTTTCATACGATGAAGCAATATTTTCTTATTAGATTTATGTTATATTTGATAAAATTTAATTTAAAATTTTTAGTCTATTCATATTGATATTTTCTCTCTATTAATAAGGGAGAATAAGCACACACCAGGTTAACATGCTTGCCTGGCCTTATTGAGGGATAAAATGTTATAATATATATTTAATATAAGTTTGAGTGAATAAAATAACATTGCATAAATTAAAACGGAAAAAAGGCGGTAAGCGCGAATGAGATGCGTAGCATTTTCGACGCAATGCATCTGGACATACATTTGGTGCGAATTTTTTTGCCTTAATACTCAAGGCTAGTGCTCACGTGATCCACGCCACAAGGCTTCATTGTGGCTTAACAAGTGTAGGTTCAAATTAAATAATTAATCAAGCCAATTTAGACGACGACATCAACTAATCAAAGCCAATTTAGACTCACTATTTGAGCATTACGGGAGTATTATTTAAAAAATAAAATAAAAAAATATTTTTTTTTTAGTAGATCAGATTAAAAAAAAAAAAAAAATCAAAGGTACTTAAGCACTTCTACAAACTAACTACTATCCAGCTTTTGTGATTTTAGGGGGGCTCGTAAAATATTTAAGAGGTCCTCACTATATATATAAACTAGGCTTAGGGTACACGCGATGCGCTTGAATCCTGTTTAATGAGTACAATTTTTTTAAATAGTATTGAGTTATAAAATAAAAATATAAGTTCCTAAAGATAGTCATGACTATTGGTTGTGTATAACTAACTCAATAATTGAAGAAATTATCTAAGAAGTCCTCAATCATCAATAATTCAACTTAACATTTATTCCAGGTTTGTAATTTCATAATTTTAGTTTCACGACAATAACCTTGAAAATCTAAATAATCTTGAAGGATACAACTTACAATATATAAGCAGTCAACTAATAATATACGAACTTTAAATAAACACAAAATCAAAGTACAATAATAAACAAAAAAATATTTAAAAAATAAAGCAAGCTAGTTAAGCTAGCTAATGAACCCACTCATATTTAGCTAAATGTATCATGGATTAAAATTAAAGATATCATAAATTATCTTGTTATTTTTGTGCCTATTATTGATTTATGTTCCACAATCCGCATAATTGTAATAATGCATTTAGAAATTTTAAAAGTTAAAAGTATAATATTGAATAATTTTATTGGTGAAGAAGTCTTGTATATTTTTAAAAAATGAACTATTTATGTTATTGTACAAGAATCCGTACCTCTTCTTTCTTAAATCTTTTATTTTTCCTCTATCTATTTTTTATCATTTATATATAATTTAAGTGTAAACATACACAAAGAGAAATCTAATAAAGCTATAATATTATAACTCTCTACGTGGTTCAAATGAGAAACAAATAAATAAGTAAATTTTAATTAATTTTAAGCTTCTAAATATTAAAAAAGTGATTAAATATCTACTAAATGAAGTGTTTCTTGTAATATTTATTTTTTAATGATAAAGATCAAGTTTGAAATAAAAAGAAAAAGGTTATTTTTAAATTCTAGACTTTCATTCTATGTAAATATTATTTCATTTATAGTATTTTATTGGACGGTAATATATACACACGTATTAATCAATATGTAATAATAGCTAAAGGCTAAAAATTAGGAGTTCTTATTTGGTTTAATAAGAAAATATTTAATCATTAAAATTTTAGGAGATTTAAGTGTCCTAAATAATAAGAAAGTAACTTAAATTACAATGTGTCCAATATAAAATATATTTTTAGAGTGTAAAAAAGACGAATGACATTTCGCTAAGGGTCTTCGTGCTTTTAATATAATACTATTCGTCACTGGGGTACTACCAGTCCCGCCGGTTGCAGTTGCTTAGGCCCAGATGGGTCCCGTTATGAGTGATGAGGAGCAGAAGAGACTAAAGAGATTTAGGAGGCTCAAGCATCCAACATTCAGTGGGGCTGAGTCAGAGGATACTCAGGATTTCTTGGATCGGTGCCAACGGATCGCACGACGGGTATTTTGGAGACTAGTGGGGTCTCATTTACTACTTTCCAGCCGATGGGGGTAGCCTTAAGATGGTGGGAGGCTTATGAGCGGAACATGCCAGCCGATGCTGCACCACTTTCATGGCACGAGTTCTCCGTTCTCTTCTTAGATATGTTTGTGCCACCGACCCGCAGAGAGGAGTTATGTAGGCAGTTTGAGCAGCTACGCCAGGAGGGTATGTCTGTGACCTAGTATGAGATTTTCAGAGTTGGCTCGTCACGAAATTTGGTTGGTTCCCACTGAGAGGGGAAGGATTAGGAGGTTCATTGATGGCCTCAGCTATCAGTTGCGTTTTGTTATGACTCTGGAGAATGCATCAGGTTCTAGGTTCGACGAGTTGGTTGATATTGGTCGACGACTAGAGTTTTTCCGTAGTCAGGAGCGTGAGGAGAGGGAGGTCAAGAGGCCTCGTGGTTCAGGTGGTTTCAGCGGTGTTCCTTCCGGGGCAGTCCTACCACAGCAGGGGTCGTCCTTATAAGCCCGTTCAGATGGCTCGTCAGGTTCATCGTGGTGCATCAGCTAGCCATAGTTCATACAGTGCTCGTCCGTGTCAGTCATCTCTTAGTGCTCTCTCAGCTAAGAGTTCATCCCGTGCTCCATCGGTTCAGGGTTCATACGTGCCAGGTCCTTCTAGTAGTCATTCTGGTTCCCAAGGCTCGATTCAGTCCCCATCACCAATGGGTAATTGCTTCGAGTACGAGGAGTTTGGGCATGTGTGGAGATACTGTCCCCATCATTTTGGAGGTCCTGTTCAGCAGATGGGTCAGGCTGATGACTTCCACACCAGTTACTTCACCACCCGCCCAGCCGGATCGGGGTGGGGCTCAGGCAGCTAGAGGTTGCCCTAGAGAGGGAGGCCGATTAGGTGGTGGTCAAGCTCGATTCTATGCTATTCCTACTAGTCCAGAGGCCGTTGCTTCAGATAAGTGACCACAGGTATCGTTTCAGTGTGCCACAGAGATGCTTCACATTATTTGATCCTGGTTCTACTTATTCCTATGTGCCATCTTACTTTACTCGTTATTTGGATATGCCCCGTGAATCCTTAGTTCTATCTGTTCATGTATCTACGTTGGTGGGCTATACTATTATTGTGGACCGTGTGTATCGGTCATGTGTGGTGACTATTGGAGGATTGAAGACTAGAGTTGATCTCTTATTACTTAGTATGGTTGATTTCGACATGATTTTGGGTATGGATTGGTTATCTCCGTGTCATGCTATTCTAGATTGTCACGCTAAGAACGTGACGTTGGCGATGTTGGGGTTGCCAAGGATCGAGTGGAGAGGTTCTCTAGATTATGTTCCCAGCAGGGTGATTTCATATTTGAAGGCCCAACGGATGGTTGGGAAGGGATGTTTGTCATATTTGGTCTTTGTGAGAGATGTTGGTGCTGATACTGCTATTATTGATTCTATTCTGGTAGTGCGAGACTTTCCAGATGTGTTTCATGCAGACCTGTCGAGTATGCCACCCGACAGGGATATTGATTTTGGTATTGACTTAGTGTCAGGCACTCAGCCCATTTTTATTCCTTTGTATCGTATGTCACCAGTAGAGTTGAAAGAATTGAAAGAACAACTTCAGGAACTTCTTGATAAGGGGTTCATTTGGCCTAGTCTGTCGCTTTGAGGTGCACCGATTCTGTTTGTGAAGAAGAAGGATGGTACTATGCGGATGTGCATCGACTATAGGTAGTTGAACAAAGTTATAGTCAAGAATATGTATCATTTACTACGTATTGATGATTTATTTGACCAGTTTTAGGGAGCGAGGGTGTTCTCTAAGATTGATTGAGGTCTAGGTATCACCATTTGAAAATTCGGGACTCAGAATTTTTAAAGACAACATTCAGGACTCGTTATTTGTCACTATGATTCCTTGTGATGTCTTTTGGGTTGACCAACGCCCCAACAACATTTATGCATCTGATGAACAGTGTATTCCAGCCATATCTTGATTTGTTTGTCATAGTATCCATTGATAATATCCTGTGTACTGACGTAGCCAGGAGGAGCATGCCCAACATTTAAGGATTGTACTACAGAGGTTAAGGGAGGAGAAACTTTATGTCAAGTTCTCTAAGTGTGAGTTTTGACTCAGTTCGGTGGCGTTTTTGGGGCAGGTGTTGTCGAGTGAAGGGATTGAAGTGGATCCAAAGAAGATAGATGTGGTTCAGAATTGGCCCAGACCGTCTTCGGCTACTGAGATTCAAAGTTTTCTCAGCTTGGCCAGTTATTATCGTCGCTTTGGAGAAGGTTTCTCGTCCATTACAACACCTTTGACCAAATTGACCCAGAAGGGTGCTCCATTCAGGTGGTCAGATGAATGTGAGGAGAGCTTTTAGAAGCTCAAGATTACCTTGGCCACAACTCTAACTCTAGTTTTGCTTTCGGCATCGGGTTCTTATACAGTGTAGTGTGATGTTTCTCGGATTGGTATTGGGTGTGTCTTCATGTAGGGGGTGGAGTGGTTGCATATGCTTCGCGCCAGTTGAAGCCCCATGAGAAGAACTACATGTTCATGTTTGGAGTTGGCAGCCATCATTCATACATTGAAGATTTGGAGGCACTATCTCTACAGTGTGTCTCTTGAAGTATTTAAGGATCATCGAAGTCTCCAGCGCTTGTTAAAACAAAAGGATCTAAATTTGAGGCAGCAGAGATGGTTGGAGCTACTAAAGGACC